AAACCCTAAACCCTAAGCCCTTTTCTTAACCCTGTCACGACCGCTCCGAACCCAGGAGGCTCCTCGCCCGGATTCGGGCGTCACCCTGGCGCCGGCAGTGGCGAACCCAGGCCTGGGTTTTGGGTTTAGGGTTTAGGGTTTTGGGGCTTTTAGGGTTGAGGGTTTGGGGTTTAGGGCTTTGGGTTTAGGTTTTAGGGTTTAGGGTTTAGGGTTGTGGGTTTAGGGTTCTGGGCTCGATGGGTTTTGAGGGGAGCGTAGGGTAGGGGCCTGAAGAATTAGGGTTTGGTTTTGAGGGGTGATATTACGGGGCTAGGTGTGATAGTAAGGAACCCCAAAAACCAGAATTATCAATTATTCTGGCTTCCATATTCGAGCGACACGCCGTCTGAAGGGTTTCGGTTCGATGGTTTGCACGCAACCACTGTGGCATCAAAGCTGGATCCACAGAAAAATGTGGCATGTGCGGACATGCGAAGGTGTTCGGATTCGGAAATATTCCTTTTGAGTGCTGTTGGGATGATGAGCTGCCAACATGAGGTCATTGTGTTGTTGGGGAGTGTTCACATATTGCTAGGAGATGTCACCTAGTTACCTAGTTACCGTGCGGTTCAATCGGGACTTGGGGATAATATGCTTCTGAGCTCAAGGCTCCATTCAGCCTGAGTATGCCGCTCCTGTGTGTATACTCACGATAGTAATCAATCAGCCCAGAGTATATTCAACTCAGAGAACCGCTCGCAGAAACCACGGTAGAGCCACCGAGTGCTAATTGCTTTTCGTAGAGGCCCTTGGACCTTGCCCCTAAACCCTAAACCCTAAACTCTACACCCTAAGCCCTAAACCCTGAATGCTACTTTGGCTTCTTTTTTTTTGGTGCCCAGTGGAAGCATGGTGAAATCCTTTGAGAGCCGGACTTTGGAGGTCTCAGCCGGGTCGCATCGAGCCCGGAGGCGGGTTCCGCTTTGCGAAATGGTAAGGGGTTTTGGGTTTAGGGGTTAGGGGTTAGGGGTTAGGGTTTAGGGTTTAGTGTTTAGGGTTTAGGTTTAGGGGTGAGGAAGATAAGAACACTGAAGAAAGCCTGCCTCGCAAGGGATGGATGGGTTTGTGACAGCAAAGGCATGCTGTGAAAGTAGTGCAGACAGGCACGATACCCGCGAGAACGCCGATCACCGGTTGCAAGAATTACCAGCATGATTAGACATGAAGGCAGTTATACAGACAAGATCGGAGACTCGGAGGATCGTGGTGTGAGAACTGCATGACCAAGGTGTGTAAAGTGTAGAGTGATAAGACATTTCAGAGTCACCAGAAAATCACCGGAAGAGTTGTTTTAAACGGGGAGCTGACGCCATGCTCGTAGTCACCCCAGAGGACGTGGGGCAGAGCGCCCATAGCATGGCTACTGATAGCAGACCCGCCTCAGCCGGAAGCCCTCACAGGAGATGGTCTCTGCGCCCGTCTCGCCACCACTGCCCCCAGCAGAAGGGGAGACAGCCCTGGCTACCAGAGCTCAGGCAGGGCTACTTCCACCACCATAGCTGCCACTACAACCCCTTTTTCAGTTCCTAGCCGTTGATGTCGTTGGAAGCCTTCGTGCTTGTGGGGTTTGGCCGTGTCTCTTACAAGCACCACTGCTCGTTTCGCTGCAGCTGCTACTACGTCCACAGCTACGGCTATTGACAGAAGATTGGTGGTTTGTATGGTTCAGGCTCTACGGAATAGTTGGGAGAGTCTGCTGGTAAGAAGCACAGTAGTAGAAGTGGTTGTGGTGGTGGTGGTAGTAGTAGTCGTAGTGGTGGTCGTGGTGGTGGTGGTGGTGGTAAGTGGTAGCGGTGGCAGTAGTAGCCGAAGCAGTAGCAGTCGTAACAGCAGCAGCAGCAGCAGGAGGAGGAGCAGAGGGAGGAGGACTAGGACGAGGAGTAGTAGTAGCAGGAGTGTTTCAGTAGTCGTCGTCGTAGCTGCAGTCGTAGTCACAGTCTTAGGTGTACTCGCAGTCGCCTCCGTCGTTGCGTTAGTGGTAGTCGCAGTCGGAGTCGTAGTTACAATAGCGTCAATAGCGGCAATGTCTCAGCATCATTCCGCAATATCGTAATGCCATATGGAAATTGCGAAGGATGAGCCGGTGGTAGTATTCGGCGCGGTTGCATTGGTAGTAGCGGAAGTAGAATGCTTCGGTTCATCAGTGGCAGGTTAAGAGCCCAGGACGGGCTCACGAGGGGTGTTGATTACTGTATGGTGTCACGGTGCTCTCCCCAACTTGATCCAAAGGTCGCCGACCGCATGACTACAACAACTCCCTATGGTCACCTGCCCTGCCAATGGGAGACGGCGTTTGAGAAGGGATCTGCCCTTGCCAGTTAATCATGTCATGTGCTAGCGCCCATCGCAAGTTTCGAAGCAGGAGAGGTAGTGGCAGTGAAGATTTAGCGGATGCGGTGGCACTAGTGGTGCAATGGGATTGGGAAGTGCTGCTGCTGCTTCTGCTGCTCATGTTGGGACTCGCGTTGGCGATTGCCCTGGTTGCTGTTTGCTTGCTTGTTTGCTGCAGCTGTCGCTGACGTCGCCGTCGTCGTCGTCTTGTTGTCGTTGCAGTCGTTATTGTAGTCGTTGTTGTTGGCCCTCCCCCATCCCGAAGGCACAACAGCCTGGACGTTCCGACCCTAGTGTTAGGCATGACCTCTGCAAGAAGCCATGAACATCCTGACTCATGACCAGTCAGCTGGGAAGCCAAGAAACTGGCGGCCTCGGGCTCCCAACACAATTCGAGTTCTTGAGCATCATGAACCCCAACAGGCCCTAGGCCCTAAACTCTAAACCCGGAAATTCCTCATGCCGCTTAAACTTCTTGACACTGCCTCCACCAACATGGTATTCCCGACCAGATGCGGTAAGGAAAAGAGGTGATCAACAAATTCCTCATCGAAAAAAATGAGGCCTCCATTTGCAGGGCTTCCCGCTTTGTGCGTCCCCTCCGAGGCAAAGCCCCCGAGTACTTTCCCATGGCCCCTGGGCTGATGTAACCGACCACGACCGGTGCCTTTTGGGTCCAGTCTTCTTCGCGAATGTGCCTGGAAGGAGGAGGGCGGCGCAATCTGAGTAAAGTCAATTTCATAGCTTCGGATATTCCCCGTAGCTCCGGTATAGGTTTGACCTGCAGGAGCGTGATGCACATTGCGTATAGACTATAGCAGTGCTAGTCGTTGCTGCAGTAGGGAAGCACCAGTACTAGAACAGCAAGGGCTTCTAGCACTGCTAGGAGGCATCGTGTTAACTGTGCTAGTAACAAGGAATGTGCACATACCCAATCCAAGCCTTGTCGCTGCTGTTTCTATTGCTGCTGCTGCTGCCTGCTGCGGCTGCCGCCACTTCTACCATTGCTACCACAGTGACTGTAGGAACACCGACGGCAGATGTAATGGTGCCAGTAGCAGCTGCGGTGCTACAATCATTGCATACATGTGCAGCAGCTAGGTGATGAGGAGAGCGAGACGGTGTCGCGATAGGGTGGTAGTTGGTGAGAAGGAGGTTTAGCCTAACACCAGGAACGGAAGTCGCATGAGCATCCCGACTGAACGCAGGCTTTTGAACCGAGCTTGTCAAGGTCGTCCTTCCCTAAGGGCTGTGTGACTACTCATAGGCGGCCCACGGCCTGATAGCCCAGGTTGTCTACCGCAGCCCCGGCGACGCCGTGGCCACGAAACTCCCGGCAGTTGGGAATCCGGACTTGCCGTGGCCGGTCGAGCTCCCGGCGCTGCTGCAGGAGCGCCGTAGAGTCTTGGGGTTGGCTGGGTCTCTGAAGAAGAAGATGGGCGGAGACGAACAGGATGATCATAATGGTGTTGATGATGCTCATGTCGAGATGACGGTGACGCTGATGGCCATGATGATGAAAGCTTGATACAAGCAGCCTGTGCCAACCCCCCCCTCCCCCCTTCCCGCGATGCGTTGCTTAGGCTGCTTATTTCACCCACCTCAGTCCAAGCATATCCTCCGACTCCATTGTCTCGTCACGATGTGATACCCGTGATGCTGTGATGTCGTAGCTTCCATCCACCCATACCCCGTAGCCCATAAGCATCTATGGTAATCCCATAGCTAATCGTACAGCAACCCTCAAAAGGAACCTCATACCTTGCCCGAAAAGAGCAGGAGTCCGGGCGGCTTCAGCGATGACCGACCTTAGCCATGTCCGGCGTCGCCGGAAAGAGCTCAGGGGTTTCGGAGCGGATGTTTCAGGTCACTTCTGAACTGCACTGCAGGATCCTTCATGGCTAGAAGAAGGCCTTCGGGGGTAGGGGGTAGCATCTCATCGTTTAGGGAACGACTACGGCATAGGATGAGTACTCTCAATCCGACGGACACATCGGGTTTCAGGGGATCTTCCGAGGCTTGGTATGGGCTCTCTGGCCAGCGCCCGCCCCTGAAACTCTTGTCCAGGTTCGTGGCCCCTGGATCCTAAAACCCTAAACCCTGAGCCCGAAGCCTTCAGCGACTTCCAAGCCCGTCAGGATATAGTATAGGACAGTATAAGTATTATAGATGTAGAGTACAGTATGGTGCAATGTAAGGTAGATATGAGATAATACAGTACGATATAACGTAGATATGATATGATATATCTTACCCAGATCTCCGATCAGTAGCCCTTGATCCGCTGCCCGGCTTGGCCCAGAAGCGATGGTGGACTGTGCCGTTGCGCTTTCTCTCGAACCCAGCCCGCAGGAGTCGAGTGTAGGGAGTGCCTTAATAAGTAGAATGGGGTTTGG